AGAGTGCGCCACGCATGAGAATCTTCTCTGAATTGGTTGGGAGGTCGTTGAAGCGTCCCGAGCTTTCAAGTTTTGTTTGAGAGCTCACTCAAAGTCCAGATGTGCACTATGTACTTTACTTACATGGTAAGGATAGCAGCCCTGAAAACTGGGAGTTTGACTCATCTGGACTGGGACTCAACTTGTGGACTTTGCAAGAAGGAGAGTGGGTACCACAGCCATCCTAGCACCGTTGTCCTTCTCGAGGATGGGTAAAAAGGGGGTTTTTCCTGAGTATGCAAAATTTACTGTTGAGGGGACCCCAACCTCTCCCCAATCAGTCTCCTCTCCATGTCCATGTCTTCAATTTCCTCTTCCTCATACACTACATTTCTCCTTACCGTCTGCCACTTCGTCCTATATCCGTTCGTCATATCCTGTTGCCTGTTCTCGCCTTGGATTTCGCTTTGTAATCAGCTCATGTTTGCCGATTGTCTTGTGGTGTGTAGACGTAAATAGCCAGAGCGCTGGCGATTGTTGGTCAGTCACTAGAGCTTCTGTCTCAAATATCGCGCGACATACCTTGCCTGAAAGGTTCTGAACTCCCCTCTATTCACCCAGCTCTTCTGAACCATTTGAAATCTTCGAAGAAAACCCATCATTGCATCCCTCAAGATTTAATGCGATTTCCTTTCTTATCTGCTGCTTCGCTTTGACTCCCTAGGGTTTTGAGAGAAATCGAAGTTCTCCGAATTATGTTTTTAATCGTAACATTTGTCTTACCAACTAATACCACTCATATTTCTAGCTTATGCGGTTACAGCATCTTATCATCCCATACGTTTTTCCCGTCGCATTCCTGCTGGCCTCTAATTCTGTTCTTCAACCTGAACCCCTAAAATTAGCCTCATGAAAGGATAGGGTTCTATTCTGGCTGCTGTTTTCACCAAATTTATGGAATTTTTTTTCTTAAGATTTTTTGAAGTTTTTTCCTGCCTTTTTCCCCCATTTTTTATAGCAGTAAGGAGTTACTAGGCTCGAACTGAATATTGAAGTGGGTAATCGGACCTGATTTCATAGTTTTTCGTGCGAGAAAGTAATCTTAGACCTTTCTTGAGTCGGAAGTCTCAAAATTCCTTCTCAACCCTTCTACCATCCCGTAGTATGATCTGGTAATGCTTTCAGGGTCCATTTTCTTGGGAAGCCTTCAAGAAGGGGGAGGGAAGAGGGGGNGGGGGGGGGGGGGGGTTATAAGATTTCATAGTCATCCATATGGGCTGCAATCAAGCAGAGTGCATGTGTTTAGAAAACTTAAAAAGAGAATAAATTTTACGACTTTAAAATTAGATTAGTTCATGATGATTACTGTATTCTTAGTTGGCCCACCACTTTCACCACTATTATATTCCATTTTATAACGGATTTCAGTTTTCCTGCTTCTTCTCTTCGAGTACCCGAGAGTGTGTTGTGTTGGTGTTGTGATATAGGGCGTTACTATCACCAGAATGATCTGTAGATTGTCTATTTATGGTCGGATAATCTCTTTGCGATGTGGGGTCCCTAAGTTGTTAGCAAATTCGCCTAAGAGAGCTGTAATGGAAGTATCGTAAAGTCGTGCTTGCCTGCTACCGTCGGATTACACATTCAGATGCGTTTTATACTAAGATTGACAGCATGGCCTATCCCATTCTAACAGGTAATTGTCCATCCGTATTGTACATTGTTCTATTTGAAGTTAAACTCCCAAATTTCCTTGAGAAGTAGATGAACTGTTTATTAGGGAGTAGTCTCAGCCAGGAGCCAGTTATTGCCAACACGTCGGACGTCTTGGCGTTGTCCAAATGGGAGGTGTTCGAACTCGTATTCAATGTTCTTAGAAATGATTTCTTTCAACACTCACGAGGCTACTCCGCCTGCTGGCTTCGCTATACTCTCTCCCTTTGTAAAGAACTGTTGTCAAACTGTTTTTCTGCAGTAACGCTCAAGCGTTAAGTGCCTGGAACTACTCGTCGTCGGCAGCTATTACCGAGTGTGTAGTGGCTCGTTAAGAGCATCATTTACTCGTTATTCTCAAGTACCTCATTATTACATCGACATGGATTAATGCCAGGCTTCACTTACAATAACGAATCATCGGTACAAAGAGAAATTACACATCACTGGGTGTCTTCCTGAAGATTCCTGATCGAGCCATGTCATCCCTTAGGCTTCAACTCGTCCACTGATTCTTAGCAAGTTGCCCTTTTCCCATCCCAGACGCTCCCAGACGCCACACTTTCTACATAATCCCAGACACCTCACTTTCCATGATGTTATGGGAAGAGCTTGCTCAGTGAAGGTTCGTCCTGTGCACAGGAACTTTACGAGCTCTTTTCCTGGAGTGCGCCGTGTACTCGCCTTCACAACAGGATTGGATGGCATCCTGTCTCGTCGTGCTATTTTATTAATTGCTATTCATTACAATGTTTTCATTTTCTGAAAAGAGCTAAGGTATTCTAAAGGGTATTATCGTGGGATGGCCGTCTACACAAAATGGTATGAGTCTCAAGCATAATGAGTACGGTCCTGTCAATGGTCTACTTCAAAAGTGCTTTTGAATCTCAAATTGAACCCCAGGGACTTTAAGTCCGATTAGCCAAAGTAGAAAACGAGACCAAAGTACTGTCTCAATCCGGAGCATTTCACTTTGCGGTCCACAATCAGTCCTAGCAGTTTTCTCCCTTGGAGTGCTTCTCCGAAAAGGCTATTCAGGCTGGCCACCTCTCATATCGGTCAGTCAAAAAATCGGAGTAGCTTGTGCGAATACGACTAAAGAGTTTTGGGCTCGCTCCCGTAAAACCCCTTCAAAATCGTTCACCCACAAATCGTAAAGGGGTTGACGTTTAAATTGCCAACAGTTGAAACATGGTCATGCACTATTCTTGCTCGCCGCAATGGCCTTCAATTACCTTTTCGTCCTTGTACTTGTAAGATTACCTTTTCCAAGGTCAGTTTTATCACTACCGTTCGTTCGAAAGCAAAGCAGATCAGTTCTTCGACTCCTATCCTTGACGAGGAAAGAAAAATTGAGTTTAAGAAGTGATTTGCTCTCCAATACCGTACCATACAAGAAGATGCCTGTTCCTTGCTAAGGTTCACAGTCATAAAGGATGACTAGGAAACGAATCCCATTCATGGGATGCGCCACGCATTCGACTTTCACTCAAAATCGTAGTAGCCAGTATCATAGTGGATGCCCTTGCTAAGGTTCACAGTCATAAAGGATGACTAGGAAACGAATCCCATTTATGGGATGCGCCACGCATTCGACTTTCACTCAGAATCGTAGTAGCCAGTAGCATAGTGGATGCGTATGTGGCTTATACAATGACTTCTGGTGCCCAGCCGTTGTACAAGTCAGTGATTGCTTTTATCCTCCGAGACGGGTCTGGTACCAATAAATCGACCTCGGAAGGATGGAAGTATTGGTTGTTCTGGGATTGAGGGCGATCAGGGTTCTGATCACCGGATCGTGCATATGTGATAGTGGCGCCTCTTGCCACTACACACTCCGCCCTCGCTAGAAAAAAAGAGAAAAAGGAAGAGAACCCTCTGTAGAAGTCCCCGAACTAGTCCATTCTGCGATTTTGCCATCTACATTTCCNTTTTGTTGGTTGCCTAATTGACAAAATTGTATCGAAATTCGTACCTAAAGTGCTTTAAAGGTCATTTATTTGCAACTTTTATCGCCCATTCGGAGGTCATTTATTTGTTTTATGGCCCAAATACTTCTACGTTGATTCATCAGTAGTTTGTTTTATCTAATGTTTCATTAATGGAAAGGGGTCGCGGAGTTTTTATAAAAGAAAGTGGGAAGATTGAGTTCCTCGGTTGTCCTTTGAACTTTGCCTTTTAATGATAGAATTCCACCGCCACCCCTTAACGCGGTACACCGCAAATGCATGAAAAATTGCTATCAAATCATGAATAATTCAAAATCCAGAAAAAGGTCTCGAAAGATAAGGATAAGATGAGGGATAAAAAGAATGGAGTCTCTGGCGTTATTGAATCCCGCCTGAGGAATGCGCCCTGTATTCGACTTCAATTCAGAATCGTAGTGACGTATTGAATGTGTATGTGGCCTGTACAATGGCCTGCTGTGGCCAGCCGATGTACAAGTCAATGCTTTTATCCTTCAAGACAAGTCTGATACCAATTCATCGACCCCGGAGGGATGAGGCTTGATTGGCCTAGGCGGGTTTCAAGCCGGGATTCGAACTCGTGACCATGCGTGTATGATAGTGTGCCACTTGCCACTACACCACCTCTGCAGAATGATGAGACAAGTATTGACATTGACGAAAACTTCTGAAAGCTCTGGTTAAATTTGTTTGGTTTTCACCTTTGAAGTCGAACTTCAATGATTCTTCATAGCTCTTGTAAGAAAGGGTTCCACCGTCCAAGGCTCCGTCCAAAAAATAACCATGCCTATCAAGATTTGCCTAGCTGATTAGATTCTCTTTTCTAGTAGTCGTCGGTAATACGATATGATCACCGTTACGTAACTTTGGATCAATATTACTCACAAGTAGATTGTTTTCCCGAGTAGGTAGGTAATCATGTCGAGCTAATTATGGACTGCATTGGGCGGTGGTTTAGATTTACAATGCCTCAGAAAGAAACTTACTACTTCAACTTCTTACTTGAGGCTGTTTCTCAGAGTATTTACTGTTCTACTGCACTGATCGAACATCGATCGATCGTTAAAGTAGTTTGATCTATCAATAATGCGCAACATTTGACACGAGTTTAGAAATTGCTTCAATTTTTTCGAGTCTGTTCTTCATCTCTGAGCCATCGTGGTCTTCGACAGACTGGAAGCCTGCCAATTTCCACGAGATCCGCCTTTATCAGTGCCAACTTTGATCTCCTTTTATAATTCAATTCTGTGTGATCTTTTACGGTTTCAAATGACGTCATCGTTTGTCCTCGGAACGATCGGATCTTATCTTTATTATAATAATTATTCATCGGTGCTTTAGATGACGTCAGTGGAAAATCCACCTCCGGGAGGAAGAGCGTCAGCAGATGGAGGAGCCGTAGATAGCGGTGGTGGCGGAGCAGGAGGAGGAGGAGGCGGAGGAGTTGCAGGTCTGCCGCCCGGGGTCAGGCCACGCCCACAACTGCCACCGAAGCCACCCATCGACACGATTAGATATAGCATGAACAACATCAAAGGTTAGCAGCTGCATGGCAATTTTAGCCTTTTCCTGATCTATCGATTGTTTACATTTTATTGCATTGTTTATTCTTATGGTAATTACTGGTTATAATAATCACCCCGACTATCATCTTATCGGGTCGGGGCCCTCGGCGTAGTCATTTCGCGCGCGCCGTCCGACACGGTTCCGACAATCATTTCAGCCGATTTTCATTATCGATTACCAGATAAAGTTCAATAGCAATCATTTCTATAACTGTTTTCTCCATTGGAAAACTGGCTTTACATCTAAAAGTTATCTGGTCTGGTTTTAAGCGGACATCAAGCGCATCGGTCTTGATCTTCAGTCCTGATCTGGGACAATCGCTAGTCGCTTCACTGACCAATGTGGGGTGTTTGTAAAATCGTACCCAATTTGTGTGTCCTACTTTTTTTGCGTGTTTTCCCTATCGGATATGTTTGTGGGTGGTCTAGTAGTGGTTGACGGGGGAAAGTGCCTGTCACTGTCCCTGGATTGGATCTCATGCGAATAGTCGGGTCTATTCAACACCTCCGGGCTGATACTAACTCATCCGTGGAAATAAACAAGTCACTGCTAGCCTTGGGTGATTTTGTAGCTTGTTTTAGAAATCCTTAACAATTCCGGACCTTCTGTGATCCTGAGTCAGGGCATGGTGCATGGCGCATCCCAAAACCGGTCACATTACCTTATTGTATGATGATTGTTACATATGACTACAGAACACGTTTCTTTTGCTTTCCGTCTCTGCTGTCACTATCGCTCGTCCTTCCCCCCACTGCCAATGGCGCTGGACCAGCTCGTGCTCCTCCCTCCTGTGTGTGACAACGTCGCCTATTGTTTTGCATTGTTGTCGCTAATGCACCACGTATGTACGTGGCGCTTTCGACGGTGGTGCTACTCGTTTTACACACTCTCCGTCGTGTCAGTTTGAGCTGTAGCACGCGCTCCGACAATGAGTTGCTGCAGCTCTTCCCGTAATGGCAAGCAGCTGTTCAGTGGTGGTCCCTCCCGTGGCGAAAATACACAAACATTGCCGCTTTGTTCGTTAACCTTTCGTCAATTAGAGCCGTCACAACGGAGCTTTGGGACACCCACACCACTACCTCCACAGCAAACTTACTCCATTCACTTGTGAGCACGACCCGTCAGAAGCTCCGTGCTCAGCAGCTTGTGCTCGCGTAATCGGGCGATTAGCTGTGGTTCCCGTCGTTTGCGTACGTAAACCCACACCATGACTAGTTCCTACGCCCGTCATTGCATTTCTTTGGAGAGACCAGTCGGCCAAAGGGAAAAAGCTTCATCCGTTGACGTGATTCAGTTCGAGCCTTTACGTTCCAAACGGCCTCTTTAGATTTGTCCATGCGCTTTTATCACTGATCTGTTTTGCCGACACGGTTCTCATCGTGTCCCGCTGAAAAAAAAAACGTCCGAACAGTTTTTGTCCTTCCCAGCGGAACGCCCTTATCATCCCACCTTTGTTGCTGTCATGTTTTGTGATTAGGGAATGGGCTTTTGAGCAGAGCGCAATTCAAACCTGATTGCAACTTTATCCTCAAATCCTCGTTGATCCAGCGTTTTCTGGTTACCGGTTAACTTACCTACCAGCTCCGTTCAAACCGTTGCCAACCGCTGTCCGATATCTTCTTCCGAGGAATTATCCATCTAGTAAAAGCCCTATTCATTTCCTGTAAAGATGACGGTCATTCAAACGAAAAAGTTCTTTGGCTGTGAATGGTCCATTAGGTAAAAGTGCAACTTTGGGCCCTAAAGTGAGACAAAATTCCCATCAAACCCGTCGATTCCTCTATTTTCACTAGGTCTGAGGCTTGTTCTGAGCCAAGCACCACCTTATCGAACACCGACCGGCTCACCGCTCATCCAGTTAGTAACTTGAGCCGAATTGAAATACTTATCGTTTCTGAACAGAAGTTGAATGCGTGGCGTATTCGTGAGGGATAGGTCTGAGCCAGTTTCCACTCGATATTCTTTATTTGGCTTCTTCGTGATAGTGTTTTCCCCAAAATGCCACAAATTTATGGGTTGCAAAGCGGTCAACCATAGTCCCAAAAGGATGCGCCATGCACTCAACGCTCGACATGTTTTGGATACAACTACCTCCTGGGGGAAGGGTTTATTGTGGGCGGGCGAAAAGCGTAGGATCCCTTCTTTTCATTTTTTCTTCATTCTCAATAGTTTCGCCTTTGTAACAGCGACAGACGCTTCCGCAGCACGTATTCATTCATTCCTTCAGTAGATTGATGCTATCAGATATTCATAAGCTTCTGATCGGCTACATCATGGGAAGGGAGCGCCATCTGCTCTTCCTGCTGTCACCACCAAGGAATTTGGCTGTCAACTTACTAGATAGTAGCGATAAAGTTCTTTTTTCTGTAGTTTTTACGTGCTCTTTGTACCGTTTCCTCTAGGACCCACCAGATAAGTACCTTCATCATTCGTTCTTCAATGACGGCATATGTATTTATCAATAGGTAGCCGTTATCAGTGCTTTTCCGCCGCTATTGTTTTCAGAGCTCTCTGTTGTTCTTCTCTACCGTCTCTTTTGTCATTTCACGTTCATTTCTCCCTTGTAGCCAACCCTTCGTTCGTTTTTACGATTTCCGTTTCGTTCCTTTCTCCCATACGGCTTCCCGCATGAATGCTTCATTCATCTACAGAACGAAATTCATCGACTTCCCCTACATCCCTGCCTATGAACTGAACAATGCTGGCATACAGACAGTACAAATTACAACGAGGTAAGACAGAATCGATTCGATTATCGATTAGGCAATTTTCATTTCACTCAATGACAATGGGGGGACGGGCCGGAGAGCGGCGACAAATCGTCATGAGAACGGCATCGTCGTCTCATTGCAATCGCATCGCAAGATTCCGGTTTCCTGACTGATGATGATCATGATGAACACTTCCACCCAATGGGGGGTGTCAAGGAAGAGATGTTCCCTAGCATAGTGGAAATCCATCAAACGGAAGACCGACATGAAACTTGGCATCTGTCCATGGAGAGATCAACTTCTTCCTGCTGTGTTCTTTGGCCCTAATCCGGCCCGAATCGCTCTGACCACGAGACTGAAACGCATCGATCGGCTGGGAGGGAGAGTTTTCGATGCGCCGTAAGAGTTTTTCCTTTAAAATTGCCTTAAAGCGGGGCAATTCTACCACGGTGCTGAGCAATGCAACGATATAATTTATGTACATTGGTTTTTTGGGTATTCTAATAACCATGCGATCCGGAATTCGAAGCATTGCTTTCAAAATGACAGTTTGACACGAATTGCTGCTGCAAAGTGCTTTTTGAGGTGTCTCAAATTTCCTAATCAATCGATGAGTGAGGATCTTTCAGAGGAACGTAGAAGTAATTTTACCCCTACAACTTTTATAAACTGGACGAGTTTTGCGCTCTCAAGAGTTTTAGGAGAAATTTCTGAAATTCCATAAGTCCAGTTTCGATTCCATAAGTAATTTTGACACGATGGACTACATCGATAAAGTGAAAGTGTGACTTTAGTGGAAAAACCTTTTCATGCTGAATATTTGAAGGAAAGAGGGTTTTACTGTATTCCAAATAAGGTAACTAGGTTTTATACTAGTACTGCTTTACCTATTCTCTGAATATTTCGAGTAATTTGTATTGAAAACCGTCTTGGGAGTGCCCCCGTACCCGAAAAATCGACAGGTTTTACCTAAAAATTGGGAACGAAGGTCTCGGATTTNAAAAAAAAAATCATAAAAATGCTCGTAAATTCCAAATGTATGTATAGATTTGCTAGTTTTGTACTTCGCTATTATAAAGTAAAAAAGTAAGCAACCGGTGGGATGCGAACTGAAGTGAAAGACGCTTTCCTCGTGGAAATCGAAATTTTTCAGGATTTCAAATCATTTTTGGCTTTTTTGGCAACTTTTTTTCCTAGTCGGTCCATAATTTTGAGCTAATTTTTTAGAATCGGCTGACTGGCAGCTTGATGCTCTACTGGAAGAGTTGTCTGCTCTGGAAACTCAGCTCAATTCGTCAAGTGGTGGCGATCAGCTCCTACTTGGGATCCCCTCGTTACCGTCTGGTTCAACTGGTGGAGCTGTTAGTACTGAGAAGAAAACATGTGCTGTACCTGCACAACAACGTAAAATCGAATGTAAAGAAGATGTCAGAGTTACGGTAAGTTAGAAAGGCCTTGAGTTTGCCTTTTCTCTTCCTAAAGGATCATTTCTGTGTACTCGCTAGCTAGTTGGAAATCACGAGGGTGTTCCATGTGGGCGATTTCTAATCTTGTAATGAACTAACACCCTATTGGAGCCGCAGTCAACAAGCCAATTTCCTCATTAGCATAGTGATCGATTCGTCTCAGACCCCCTCCTGTCTATCCAAGCCTGATAAGATCCACGAACAGGTTCTAAGGTCGTGGGAATGGGAAAATTTGAAAGTGAACGCCGCGATCAATTAACACCTGTCATGTTGCCGCAGCTAGGTACGGCAGCAAGACAGGCAACCTCCCATGAGAATAGTTTCCATGGGAGGGCAGATTTCTCAGAGGCTAGGGTAGTGACCATTGTAGGAAACTCCTCAGATCCCATTCAAAGATGACCTCCGTAACGGACTTCTCGCATCTAATCTGTGAGTTTTTCCGGGGAGCTCTTTTCAGACTTTTGGGACTTGCGTGGGGGTTGTGTTCGGGGCTACGCTCCCATATTCGAATTTTTTTCAATCACCATAAAAGATTCGTACTTCTCCTTTACTATACGGTAACCCCAGGATTTCAAAGTTCAAATTTGAGTTTTCAAACTCGAAATGCGGTTTGCCCTTGTTACATACCGGCAATGGGCAGAGGAGAGGGCGAGAAGGGTTAAGGCCAGGGCACTTCGGCGAGGAATTCCTGGGGTGTCGTTGGGGTATATGTAGTTTCACCCATCAAAAAGGACACTGGTCGATATTGTTCTGGTTGCCCCTAAAACAGTGCTGGTATCAAAATGATGGCATGGCCCTGCACGGAGTTTCCTCCTACTGTAGCCCTGCAAGTGGTCCAAGGTGTAGTACAAGGCTATTTATCATTTACTGCTTCCATCAAGAATCTTCATTCTGAATTATTGTTTCCGCTAGGTGGCACGTTGTAAAACGTTCGGGAGGGATCGTTTTACGTACATCCGTGCACACAGGACATGTGCTTTACTAACTCAACAGTCGGATCTTGATAGATCTGATGATATCAGTAGTATTGATTGATCAGGACGTACATACCGATGTGAACAGGCACACATGCAAAAATCTACTATAAAACAATGAAATGTCGGCAATAATGTACGACGTTTGTCGGAAGA